AATACTTATTTAATAAAAATTCCATATTGTTTTTTGCATGTATTCTCTTTAAGTTTTATATACAAGAATCCAATTTCCAGTTAGCTCTACGTTTGCGAGAAGTATAAACAAATCACAAGGCCAAAATTTTTAAAAAGTTGGAATTTAGTTACAGAAAGAAATATTTACGTGATTATAGTGTTGTAAGTTGCATGTTCAAGAGTATAAAATCGTAAGAATGTATTCTCCATTGTTAAAAACGAAAAAAAGAAAAATTCTTAAAAATATTATTTACCATGAAGTCCTAAAAAATTAAATTAAATTACAGAAATTATTAAACCACGAATATAAGTTTTTCCTCAAAAGTATTTTCAAAACAAATCAGCACATTCAAATTATATCGATTGTTTTGCGAAATTGAACGAAAGGTAGAATTTGTAAATCTCGAGAAAAACTGTTAGCGATAAATACTAAATACTATGAGGAAAAAAATTCTAGGTGATTTAAAATCCACTATAGGAAATTTAAAATATATTATACTTCATCCAATATGAGTCTCAAAAGCCACTCGTGCTAGAGAGTTACGGAATACAAGGTGACTAGTATAAAAACTTGAAAGAAATTGTCATATATGAAATATCTCAGTCATCAATTCTATGAATTTAATGCAATGCTATATTTATCGAACGTCATTAGCAGCCACTTGAAAGTCAATTAATTAATCGAAGATCATGATTATAAATGTGCAAAGCTCCTATTAATCGTCTGAGATTATCCTTTCTGACTTCCATCAGCATGGTTGCTGCCAACATCCAGTAGACTGATTCGTTACGCCTTCTCGGGTTAACGTTTCCCGCTTACATGAAGTGGAAAGATTCTGTTGAATCAGTTAATGGGTCTACTGATAAGGAAAAAAAATATCCACAGTGTCGTGCTAGGAAATTTTTCTCGCCCGAATATATGATACTTAATTAAAAGTCTACCATTCATTCATTGTTTGAATATTGTCGCCACATATGGTTTGGTACTCTTCCTGTGTATTTAGAGATCCTTCATAAAAAAAAAGAAGAATCAGTAATCTTATTGGTGCTGACCTGGCATCTCGACTTCAGTCAATTTCCCAACGTTGTAATGTAGATTCCCTGTGCCTTTTCTATAAATACATTCATCGAAATTGTTCTGATGAATTATTTATACTGTTTATATTCGGACACTTTTCCTTATCTTTGTTGTTATCACAACGTTTCAACTGTTGTGCCTTCCGGCCTTCAGATGTATTCTGCACTGAATTTTTATTTAATCTACGGGCGTAGATTGTTTTCGCTCAACTGCTCATGTCTAGGGATATCGTCGACACCTTATTTTTCTGATCAACTTCCCTAGACATTTTGAATCTAAGCGCAGTGCTACATTGACAGCAAGATATTATCATTTTACAGTTGAACTTACATCTAAATGTAACCGAAAGTTTTATGCTAAGTTTCATTTCTAGCACTTTTCGCTTGTGGAACTCTCTTCTGAATTCTTGCTTACCTGTCAAGTATCATCTTCAAAAATTTAAATGCAATGAAATGATTAAAAAATAAAACTTATAATTTAGTTCGTCGAAATAAGATATCATTGAAAATGGTCTTTACATTTGAACACATTTGATGATGACTGAAGGAATATAAGAAGAGAATTTACGAAATCGCTTAAAGACTCTCCTAAAATCAGTAAATACTAAAGATAAAATCGTTGCAAAAATCCCTCAATTAATTAGATCGTGCCTAGAAAAATGTTATTAATTTCCTTTGCTGGTTACAATGAATTATTTGACATTGAGTTATGTAATTTAAAAATATTGATATAGAGTCATTCGGCATTTAAGTATTTGGCTGCCAATTCTTGTACAGGAAAGCATATGAAAGACCGCCTGAATTCGATTCTACGATAATTCCTACAGACGGTAATGAAGGAAAGCGAGAAGAAAGGACTAAACATCAATTGCAAGCGTGAATGCATTGTTGTTAGCAAAAGGAATAACCCGACATATAAATTACAAATTGATAGGCCAAAATGAAACAGGTGCAGCAATTTAATTATCTGTTATTAACAGAAGACGGAAAGTGTAACACGGAAATCCGACGTCGCATTAGGATAGATCCCTTCCAAAAGCTAAGCAAAGTATTAAGGAACAGGAAAATGTGGTTAGAAACAAATAAAAGTGTACTGAGCAGTTATGCCATATCAGTATTAGTTCTGATATAAGGCAGTGAATGCTAGACAATCACCTCACAGATGAAGAAGAGACTTGAAGCAACAAAAGTGTTGTCATACAAACGAATGCTGAAAATACCATGGACCGAATATGTTAGCAACGTTTTAGAAACGATAGCATCAAGGGAACTTGTACTTAACATCAGTAAAAGACAATTGAAATTTCCAGGGAATATGATGAGGAATGAGGGCTTGGAAATTTTGATACTCATATAGCAGACTGAAACTAATAGAGACTGAGGAAACAAATGCATAACCTACCTGGCGAAGGGCGGTGAATGGATAGCGGAACAATATTTGAGGGAGTAGGCAACAAGACATAATTTATTAGGAGTTACAAAAGACTGGAAATTATGAAGAGTCATGATCACATACGTCATAAGAAGACATGGCACAAAGAAGAAGAAGAAGAAGAAGAAGAAGAAGAAGAAGAAGAAGATCTGAGAATTCATTTTATGAAAAAATAATCTAAAATATTTTTCTGAGTTTATATAGAAAATAGAGGATTGCTTTAAATTTTTTTATCATTTAATATTTTTTGTTATAGACATGTAAAAATATGTGTATTAGTGTAAAATAAATTTAGGTAAATCCAAAACTTTAAAATAGACAGATAAAGAAAGAACTATTTTTCTGCTAATGATTCTATTTATGGAAATTTTACTCAAATACTATTTTTATGCCACCCACAGAGTACATTTTAGAGTGACCCGTCACCAGGGTGAGTGCTAACTATCCCCGAACCACCCGACTCTCACTATCTTATCAATGTCTGCTTTTTTTACCTACTTCTATATAGGTTACAAATTAGACTGAGCACAACTGGCTATTTGTTGTAACCTAGAAAAGGTTATTGAATGAGGAATAACCAAAACGGTGGTTGCATGTGAAATGGTAATCTTTGTAACATCAACAAAATAGAATACCCGCCAGCGGCGTGAAGCAGGTAAGCCACTGCTTGTAGTGGACTACTTAGACAACATATTACGATATTTACCTGCCTCCCCATGATGTAGGCACAAGGCCAAATTTATTGTGGGGAAATCTGAGCCCGTGGGCTCTGTCAAAAATTGCCTGTAGACCGGTTATCTGTCTACCTCCCCAGACGAGACTCTGCCCTTCGACATAACCTCATCCGGAAGGCAGGGAGTTCGAGACGGCAAGAGCAACAGCATATTACCCCCACTTACAATAGTGTTCAACTTATTTATGAGGATTGCGACATACCCATTGGTGTTCATAGGTACGGTATATAACATTATTAAAGGATGATAAATTTTCGTAGATTTTGACGTCATTCTGTGATTTGCTTTCTGTATCCGTGAAATTGCTTTGCTCATGCTAAATCCCGAAAAACATGATTAAAAATTCAATATTTTTTTTATCTATAATGTTGAATGCGTTAAAATTATTCAACTTATTAACAAGAAAAATCTTGGGTTGCTGTTAAAATTTGCCGTAAAATATTGTTGATTGATTTAAGCTGGAATTATCTATATTTTGTATTTAGATATATTGTATTTATTTTCATTCTTTCTAGTTGAAATTGTTCATTTGAATTGCATATGATCCATTATTGTGCGTAATTTGGTTACAATAAATTTGTATTTATATGAATACCACGTCATGAAAATTGGGAGGTAGACTTGTGGTGCATATCATAGATTAGGAACGTATCATAGATTCAGGTCATCATAAATTCGAAGGGTATCATAGATTCGTTGCGAGGGAGCAATAGACCTTTGCAACGTATCTGCCTGTGACCAGAATGCATTACAACTATGAAATGCACTCAAAAGCAATATCACTTTGTCAAATTTAGACATTTGTTCGGGAATACAAATTCTCGTCACTGTTTCAATGGCATTAAATAGCAATTACAGTATAAACTGTTTGACAGAATTTAGAAAAATAAAAAAAAATAACAACGAAATATAATAATTTACTTTATTCACATTCGAAGTATTGTCTTCATCTTTGTTCTTGTTATCACAACGTTTCGGTGTTTGTGCCCTCTGGCTTTCTTCAAGTTTATATCGTTCCGGGTATCCTACAAAGAAAACCGAACTGAAACCTTTATTTAATCTACGGAGCTAGACACTTCTCGTTGCACTGCCCATGTCTAGGGTTATCTAGTATAGTTCTTATTTTAAGTACTGTTCGGTACGCTCTGCCCAGTTCAGGGATTGAACTCACAATTAGTATATCACCAAACTCACGAAACAACGCTTTAATGTACTAGATTGGGTGTTTGCAAAGAGGAATCATATACTCCCATGTATACTCTCTTTCTCTATCTCGTTCTCTTTCTTTCCCTCTTTCTCCCGCCCTCTCTCTCTTTCTCTCCTCCTCATTCCTACTTTATACAAATACAGCATATATAAAGTGCTGGATTATAGTTTTCCTTCTACTAATTTGATGCGTTAATGAAGGCTAAACTCCCAACATTCTTAACGTGCGCCTGAAAACGAACATCTATTTCTACATCCCTGCGCCTGTGCTAGATTGCCGATGGAAAGATTCATCAGCCCTTTGACAGGATTTCGTCATTAATCCTTCCGTGGATCTCGCGCCTCTACACACAAGCTTAGTCGCCAATAACTCGAGTGCTACTCGCAGGTGTCACCAGTAGCACTCGTAGAATGACGTGACAATACATATCCAACACACACAGCCATACGGGTGTGTGTATTGTACTAAGTATTCAGTAAAATTTGTTTTATTCGGTTTGAGTGAAAATTTGAAAAGTTAATCAATCTCAGCCATATTCTGCAACATTTTTATCTATCTATCTATCTATCTATCTATCTATCTATCTATCTATCTATCTATCCGAGTTCTTTTTATATCTATCTATCTATCTATCTATCTATCTATCTATCTATCTATCTATCTATCTATCCGAGTTCTTTTTCTATCTATCTATCTATCTATCTATCTATCTATCTATCTATCTATCTATCTATCTATCCGAGTTCTTTTTATATCTATCTATCTATCTATCTATCTATCTATCTATCTATCCGAGTTCTTTTTATATCTATCTATCTATCTATCTATCTATCTATCATCTGCGATTCTTCGTTATCTATCTGTCTATCTATATGTATGTATTTATGTTTGTTTGCATGCTTATTTACGTGTGTTTAATCCAAAATATTTCAGTTACACGCATAAATTTATTTTGAAGTTATCGACTATCGGCTGATTGCCATTGGGTAGTTTTGATTCATTCAATAGCAGCCATGTTAGCAGCCCTTGCTTTTAAATTACACTGAGTCTTTGTATAAAATTAATGCAAATCATTGACCAAACAGTTTTGTTAATCGCAGACTCGTTAAAAAAGCGACACATAAATCACCACTGCACCAGTCAACTAGCCTTCCATCGTGTTCAGAAAGTATTAATCAGTGATTTTTAAAAGCTTATGAAATGATATAAAATAATGTAGCATTTCGTGTTCTGTTAAAATATACGTGCAGGTTGATCAATACAATTTTTCTGTTTCAGGTATATCCAGACCACATAGAAGTTACTGAGAATGAAATTTATGGTTAATAATAGTGACATAGTGCATGTAAATTTAATTGAAAAAAAATCGTTTTTTTTTTAAACTGATAATTTTTTGCATGAAAATAATTGCCGATACAAGAGACGGAAAAATAAAACTAAATTGTCCTTTAGTCACTTTCCCACGGCTGTCAGGTTACCTTTTTGTGTCTTTTCAATATATACTCTCGTGGTAATTGTTCGGATGAGCTCGGCGCTATGGTACCTAGACTTTTTGAATTTAAGCGCAGTACTCGATTGGCGATGAGGTCTCATTAGTTTACACTCGAGCTTTTTAAATGTAGCCGTAAATTCTATGCTGACAGTTTCTTTTCTCGTACGCCTCGCTTGTGAAACTCCTTTCCGTCTTCATGCTTTCCGACCAACTTTATTCTACAAAAATTTAAATGCAATGTCCATCGTTATCTACAGTCCTTCTAATTACTCTATTCTCTTGCTGCCCGTTATTATTGTCCTTAATTCTTCCACACCCAGTAACCCCTTGTGTCGTAGTAGCTTTACTTCCTTGTTTGGGTTGAAATCGATTAAAAAACTACTGAACAGATAGCCGAGAATCAATCCATATAAAGTCAAAATCAAGTGGAAACTACTTCGGCAGGAGTTGTTTAATCATTTCGGTATAACAATAATAGTAAAATTTTGAATAAGTCACAGCAATGGAAAAAGGTTACTGCATAGATGTTTTTTACGTACATTAAATAGGGAAGTATTTGTTGTTCTTATCAAATATAACATATATAATGATGGGAATCGGAATCTGGTAGAAATCATGTTAAAAAGAAAAAAAATAGCATTCGAATTTGAGAACGCTTCTACGATCCATTTCAAGCAGACATGAACAACTAAGAAAATCCCAAAAAAGAAAAAAAGAAGCTGCTTAAAAGTGAATTATATTGGAAATGACGATAATAGTGAAAAGTGTTAAAATATAAAAAAAGGCTTGGCACTAATTGATTTCTATAATTCCTAGCAATTGACATACGGACAAATATTTACTAATGCTTCGACTATTATTTCTTTCCTAAATTCATTTGCTTCTTATCGCAACTTAAAAACTGTTCTTCGAGAAATGAAGACTATGTCGTAACTGAATTTCAATCATGCGCCATATTTATAGGAAGTGTGAAGCCTGTTAAAACGTGGCAGCTGCTTTCATGTTTTGACTATGGAAACCTTCCATCTGTATCCTTCAGACCTACAAAATATAGACCTAAGGTTAGAAATGGCATCATGGCACTTTCCACTGACAAAAAAAAAAAAAAAAAAGATTACATAGATAAAGCCCTTCGTAAGGTGTGGGCTGTACTTGTCAGAACAATTTTTCTGTATCTCCTTGAGGCATGGACTTCCAGGAATCCGTTCAATTAGTCTACTGGAATCTTTTCCAACCAGTCCTAGGGCTCCAACTACAACAGGGATTGTTGATGTTCCCATATGCCACATTTTCGAGATTTCTATTTCAAGGTCCTTGTACTTTGACAACTTTTGAATATCTTCAAAGATACATTGCAGTTGGCAGGGACTGCCATATCAATAAGGAGGCACCGTTTTTGTTTGTGGTCTTTAATAACAATATCTGGGCGGTTGGCCTTGATTGTTCTGTCAGTGTGTATTGTGTAGTCCCATAGAATTGTAACAGGTCCTATCTCCGTAACCGGGTCTGGGTGGTGTTCATACTAGTTTCTTTCAGTATTCTTCCCGTAGAAATTGCAGATTTTCCAGTGCAGATATTGGCCCACTCTGTCATGTCGGGTTTTATATTCAGTGGGTGCCAACACCGTACAACCTGCTACAAGATGATCAATCGTTTCTGGATATTTATCACAGAATCTGCATTTTGGCCTGACACAATATTTTAGTATATGTGCTTGATAATTCCTAGTTAGCAAGCATTGGTCCTGCGCAGCAAGGATAAAACCTTCAGTTTCCGCTTTCAACCCTGCACTACGTAGCCACTGATGGGTACGGGTTTTGTCTACGTCAGCTTGTTTGGTACGGGCAGAGTATTGGCTATGAAGCGGTTTATCTTGCCATCGCTTCTGTAACTGGTCTGTTGCATTCGTCTTAGCTATCTTTTTTAGGTATTTTGCAGTTTCAGCCCGTGTATTGTGCTGTAGTTGCATCTCTACGCCCATTTGGAACTCCATTTTGAATTTGTTGGCTTCCTTCATTACGGAGTAGAGACGCTTACTACTTTCATGTTCCTTGACGCATACAATCATCCAGTCTTCAGTAGTTTCCAAATATCTTTGGTGGCCAATTGTTGTAGTTTTGTAGGACAGTTCTAGTTGAACTAATCCTATGCCTCCTTCGGATCTGGGCACATACAGACGGTCGACATCAGCTTTGGGATGATGCATGCGATAGCAAGTGAGTAGCTTTCTCGTTTTGGCATCCAGTCGCTTAATTTCAGCTATGGTCCAGTTAAGGACATTAAAGCTGTATTGCACCACAGGGACAGCCAATGTGTTTATGGCTGATATCCTGTTTTTTTAGTTCAGCTCAGTATTTAGTACCAGACGAACACGCCTGTAGTATTCTTTTCTTATTTTTTCCTTCATTTGGGCGTGTTGTATACCATCTCCTTCGCTAATTCCTAGGTACTTATAAGCTTCATCATGCTCCAGTTCCCTAATCTTTGTGACAAAATCTAAATCTATTAAGGGTGTTTCTGTAATTCTACCTTTCTTGAAAGTTACTTTTGCACATTTATCTAATCCGAAGTCCATACCTATGTCGTCACTGAAGTATTTTACAGTATTGAGGAGGCCTTTCAACTCATTGTCGTCTTTGGCAAAGAGTTTGAGATCATCCATGTAGAGTAGGTGATTGAATATTTTCTTATTTATTTTGTAACCATAGATACTGTTGTTCAGTTCATGTGTAAAAGGGATTAAGGATAAACAAAACAGAAGGGGTGACAGAGAATCTCCTTGAAAGATTCCACGTCGGATACTCAGACGGTTGGATATGGCAGTGCCCCCGGTGTGACTAAGGTATAGTTTGGTGTTCCACATTCCCATGCTATGCGAAACGTTATAATAAATATGTCGACAAAGATGAGGACAATACTCCGAATAATGTAAATAACCCAAAAGAATATTAATACTAATAAATTATTTTACACTTTTGAACCATGGCTTCCTGGTGTCAGCTTAAGTTTACGTTTTTCTTTGCCTTAAATTGTGATCATTTTGTTCTTATTTTATTGATTTCGTACGAAAACATGGGAAAAAATTCAGTGAACTCTTACTTTTCCCAAATTACAGTAGAGAAAAATGAAAAAAAAAATTGGTACTGACGCCAGAAGGATATGGATAAAACTATCATCTTTTCGACCATTTTGCTTAAAGTTCGTATTTTATTGATTTCATATCTCGACTTGGTAATTTTCCAACATATTTCAGTGAAATTTTAATTTTCCAAAATTAGTTTATAGTTTAGATAGATGGAAAAAAGAAGGCGTCAGTTTGAATTAACACCTGGAGTCTTAATATCATGAAAAGCTTGTATTGAATATTTATACATAAAAGTAAAATAATAAATTGCACGATAAAAAGGTGAAAAATTTTGAAAGCTAAAGGGAAGGATAAGCGTGTGAGAAAATGGATGAAACATTCACATGAGATTATGGAAAGGGAAACGTGAAGAGAAATTAATAAGAAGGATAAAAGACAGAAAATTTAAAAATCGAACAGGTATTAAAAAAATAAAGAAGAGAAAAATCAGGAAAATGAAATAGAAAAGACGTACCAAAAACATATCAATCAAAATGAAATTAGGTAAATAAAAGAAAAGAATGATGACGGAATTCTAAAAATAAATAAAATAAAATAAAAAAAAAAACAGAATACTCTTTAAAAAGCAAAATATATAAATAAAACATTTAATCAATTCGAAAGTCAAAATAAAAAGAGACCCGAATAAAAATAAAAATAAAAAAAAAACGATCAAAGGGAAATAAATGAAGGTTCTTTACCGTGTTTCAAATTTGCGAACAGTTTATTTTGTTTTCGAATCCAAGGAACTAATTCATGGCACTCAAAATCAGTCCTTTGCTCGTGGGCTTTAGAGATGACAGCGATCACTTTCTCGTAGACAGTAGGTGGCGCCATCTTCATTCAATCTTCTTTTTTTTACCCTTTTTTCAGTTTTTTTTTCTCCTTTTCAAGAATGCGAATGCGTTTTTTTGGAATGTTTCTGTTAATTTTTTTGGTTTAATTGAACACGATTTAGAATTTATATTTACTCTGGTTCAGTTCAGAGATTTTCCTAAAATAAAAAATATATATATATATAGAAAATGAAAAACAAGTAGAAAGAGAAAAAAATAACATCATGTTGAATGACAGAAAAATATATTCAAATTTGTATCTCTGTACTGGTCAGTTAATAGCTGCCATTATACAAGTTATATGCATATGTACATAGATATATCTGAAGTAATATATTCACATAAATACAAATCAAAACGTTTACTTTAATTTAAATATGCTTCCCAAGAAACATGTGCGCATGCATGTGTGTTTATGTAAATGAGAGCCTACCTGTATGAACCAGTTTGTGCATGGATGTGTGATTTTAAATGTGCGTAGGTTGACAATATAAAATATATGTGCATTAATGTATTTTTTATGTGACATAGACACTCTTGATGCGTATTAATGTGCAATGGGTTTGATGCAGTAATTTTGTATATATAAATTATTTAACAGAATAATAATAATAATAATAACAATAATAATAATAATAATAAACAGTTTAATTTTTTCGGAAAATTGTTATATAGTTCGTTTCTGAATTTGAAAATATAGAAATCACATCGAGAGAACGGAATATATAAAACGTAATTATAGAAATATACATACGTGATTTTCATATTACAAAATAGAATATTAGAAAATAAAATATGCATTTTTTTCAAATCGATATAATAAATTTGTATATAATCTTTAAAGTGTACTCTACATGCGCCTTTTTATAATTATCTATATTTATATACATATATTTATCGAATACAGAGAGAGTTTAAATTATATTCGATAGAAGAAAATAATACATTTGTGAGTTTATAATACATAGAGAACACTTAAATCCTTAAATAAGCTCTTACTAATTCAAGTGTAGACATTTATACATACATACATACATACATATATATATATATATATATATATATATATATATATATATATATATTTACACGTATAAAAATGTATATTCAGTCATTATTTATATACCTCATTAAAGGATAAATGCAGTTTCATACACAATTTTATGTAAATATACTTAAATTCGTGTATAAATGTTCCAGTGGTACACACACAACTGCCTTATGTCAATTTATGCATTTTATGTATTTTAGCATATATATTTTTTGAGCTTGAACATACGGACATTAGTATTAAACCATTTTGATAATTGTTGTTTTGACATACCACACAAATTAAAATTTTGTGAAGATGTTCCATTTTAGCCTCTTCCAAATATATATATATATATATGTGTGTGTGTGTGTGTGTGTAAATAAATGTATACATATGTAAAAATCGAAAAAGAAACTATACTTAATCCTAAGTATCGTTTTCGACTAAGTATATTTTTGTCAATTTTTTCTTTTGTCTCTTCTACAGATACAAACAATATGAGAATATTTACACACACATACACACACACGCACACAAACACACACACACACATATATATTACAATCCCTCCTTTCCCCCCTCTCTTTCTCTCTCTCTCTCTCTCTCTCTATCTATCTATCTATCTATCTATCTATCTATCTATCTATCTATCTATCTAAATATGTGTGTATTTGTATGTATGTATGTATGTATGTATGTATGTATGTATGTATGCATGCGTATGTATATATATATATATATATAGAGAGAGAGAGAGATGTGTGCGTTTGTGTGTGTGTGTGTACGTGTATGTTTTTTTTTGTGTGCGTGTCGTATCAATACCACAAATTTTGATAAGAGTCTGCCGCAACACTGCAACTGTTAATTATGTTTTCTTTCTATCACATTTTTCTCAGTAGTTTAACAACACCTTTTCAACAACCCAATCATCTGTATGGTCGAAACTAGGGCGCGAAATGATTTCACGAAGGCCTTTTATGCTAGTGAACGTTTACAACCTGTCAACTCTGAAGGCAAACGATCCAAACCGCTCTCGCGTATTTTCTATGTATAAGTTTAAAATTGGTTATATAGACGAAGCTATACAGTGTATATGCCCACACCTTTTCCTTCTTCTCTTTTTTCTTTTTCTTATTTGCCTTCTTTCTCAGTAATTTGCTAGATCTTTAATCTTTTTCTAGCAATACTTTTAAAATCTTTTTATTGACATTTAATTCTATAAAACAAAAATACATTCCGTTTTTTTATCACAATGTTATTTTCATTTTCTCTGATATCTGGTAATCTAGGTCTTATATTTCCTTATATCTTTCCCTCTCTTTTCCAATTTCTTTCATTTATTTTTCTCATATCTTGTATGTTTTTATATTTTGCTTAAATAAACCAATAGCTGCAATGGATCTATTAACTCTTTATTTTTACTGTTGATTAAAACTGTCTATTTCAATCCTCTCCGTAGATTTGATTGGTTAAAACAAAGCGAACAACGAAAAACCTAGTTAGGCGTTTTGTAAAAATTTAAACGTTTGCTGTTTTCATAAATTTATTTTGCTCCCCTTTTTAATCTATCTATCTATCTATCTATCTATCTATCTATCTATCTATCTATCTGTTTCGTTTGGTGGGAGTAAGGGAGTGTAAAAATTATCCATAGTGTCTATTGTCTCAAATACTTTTGGTCACTTTTTTAGCAAGGGGTTTTGACGTTAAGTGTTGATAGTTTCTTTTCACGTTTGTCTGTTTCAGATGTAGATTTTGTAGTGTCTAAATAGTAGTAGGTTTATTCTGAGCTGCACAATGTAGATAGATATATGAACACACACACACACACACACACACACACACACACACACACACACACACACACAGTGTGCGATAGATAAATTCTCGTCTAAATTACGCAAAACTCACATTTCATTTTAACATATATATACATATATATATATATATATATATATATATATATATATATATATATATATATATATATATATATATATATATATATATATATATATATATATATATATATATATATATATATATATATATATATATATATCAAAATTACACAGAAATATTTTGAAATACTAAAGAGTAAATTTATTCAATAAAATCGCCATTGGCTACAACCGTCGCGGATGCAGCCAGGAAAAACTATTTTAACCGACGAGTTTCGTCGATTGAGGGACTTTATCAAAGCAATGTAGGATATATTTTCCTACATGTGCTTATATACAAAGACGAGGATATTATTGATTTATCAAGGCTTGTAAATTTGAAAAGATTCATGAATGTTCATCAAGTGATTGAAAGGTCAAGTCAAATCATGTGAAGGACACAAATTATCATAATTAAATGTCTGGCAAAAAGTGAATTGAGCAAGTAATATTCAAGTTTTAATATTTTTTTTTGTTTTTTTAAGTGTATTGTTATCTTAGGATTAGATTGTTATGCTACAAAATGGACGTATGTGCTGCCCATATCTCACAGAACAAAAATCTACCATCGGTATCGAGCCCACTTTTGAATTAATGCTGTGAACGTTAAAATTTATATATTATTTTCGTTCTCAGTGAATCAGTTATATTATATATATATATATATATATATATATATATATATATATATATATATATATATATATATATATATATATATAATATATATATATATATAATAAGAACAGTGTTCTTATTGATATTTTTTTTTTTTTCAAAACAGTGCTCAGTGTAAATTTACAGAGCATAAATATTATAAATTAACTCATTTAAAATGGGAAGAAACCATATTTTAAACCAGTTAATTTTATATATATATATATATATATATATATATATATATATATATATAATATATATATATATTTGGTTGGATAGATGTGAGTTTGTGACCCTGGGTTTCTCGCTTTAGCGATCGTCAGACAAACTGATTAATGTTTTAAAAAATGTGGGTTTATGTAGATTGCGTGTATTGGTGTTATTGTGGAAGTGGTGGGGGAAACTTCGTCGTTTTGTCATTCATCGTACTAACGCAAACATCGATGTATGCAGACACATATACATACTTGGTCGTCCGTCGGGACTCATACATATATAAACATATGTGGGCAGTTTCGGATATGACATATGTATGTATACGGGTGGTGTTGTGTCTATACATACGCATTTGTATGTTGAAATGTTGAAATTTAAACATTGGAAGTGTGGCGGAAATGTCTCGTTAATGTCTCGTGAATGTATACATGTCATATTATGTATTTTTCCGCTGGAAAATATTTCCTCGCATGTATGTATATACGTGTGGTGGGGTTTGTGTAAAATTATGATAGGTAAAAATTATTATTATTTATATTTATTTTTAAATTTTTGAAAAAAAAAATGGGGGTTTATTTGTTATATGTAAAGCTGGTTATTTGTTTGTTTTTGGTGACTGTGTATATGTAACAGGTAGAAATTTGTAATCCTTATTGGATAATTTATATGGTGATGTTTAATATTCAATGTGGTGGGTGAGAGGGTAGTTCAATTTAATAACTGGTCTATATGATATGATGTGATAGTAATGTTTCAAGGGATTGGAGACAATGATAATATAATTAGCTAATAGTTATTGTAAATTGGTAGAAATTGTAAATTGGTAGAAATGATTAGTAACGGTGGTGGGAGAATGATAAAACCATGAATGTAGTTATAGTGGTGGTAGCTTGAACTAAAAAGTGGTTGTTGGTGTTTTATTTTATTTTATATTGTTATACGTATTAATTTATTTTGGTATAAATCCTGATAATAGGTATTCTGTGTAAAATTATGGTAGTTGAAGATTGCTATAATTTTTAATTACAAAATTATTATTGTTATTATATTAAAGCTGCCTGGTAATAGGTGTTTATTCTCATGGTTACATATGGAAATTATATCTGATCATATTGTTTTAAGGTATTAAATATGCTGGGGGAGTAATAAAGATTGTAGTTGATTTATATGTTAATAGTGGGTGTGATGTGTAAGTGATGGTGCTGTGTGTTGGTGGTAATGATAATATTATTAGTTAATAGTTATTGTGAAGTGGTAAAAGTGATTACTAATGGTGGTGCAATGATAATAATGATAGATGCAATTATTTTGATGGTATCTTGAAATTAAATTGTGATTGTTGGTGGTTTGTCTGTTTTATCCGTTTGGTATGAATTCGGTACTTGTTCTCATGCCTACATTTGGAGATTATCTCTGATTTTTTGTTTAGTAAGTTCTTTTGCGGTTTGTGTGATATTATTGCTACTTTTTCGTGTAGGCAAAGTAGGCATTTTTTTCATTTACGGGTTTTATAAGCATATTCATTATTGAAATTAATTTAATGAATATGCTTATAAAACGCGTAAATTTCAGGAATACGTTATTCAAAAAAAAATATTCGCTTGAAGATGGAACAGAGCTTAGTACTTTAATTCAATTTAATTCAAATAATTATATTGAAGTTTTCGGCTCTTGTTTAGAAACATAAGAACTCTTATGTAGCGTTGGAATTATATTTTTAAATAAACAATTATATATATATATATATATATATATATATATATATATATGTATGTATGTATGTATATATTGTTGGATTTAATTCTGGTAGTTCAAACTGAGAAAAGGTTTGGCAGTTTGAATTTAATATAATTTTAATCTGTTTATTTCTTTAACAAGACGTTGATCCGTAGTGCTTTAATTTGTCCTATAAAAATGGCATAAACTTTATTACTGAAATTTAGTAAATGTTTTTAAACTAAATTCTAATGTCTTTTCGGCTTATGGCCATATCATGTTGAAACACCGGTTCTCGTACTATTATGGAAACAACGTCGAAACAGGTCAGTACACGCGTGACTGTTTAGGAATTCCAGGTGCTGTAATATTGGATGTGCCTGTGATGTAATGGATAATGGCTCAGAAATGGAAATCGGAGATGCGGAAACATTCTTGAGAAATGTATGAATTCACCTCTTCTCCCTCCAGCGATGGGTTAATTAGGAGGAATTGTATTAGCGAATCATAATTATCTCAAAACTATTCTTACAATCCAAAAATATTTTCTAGATTTAAATAAAATGCAAACGGTTGATAAGCCGTAAAAAAAACAATCTCTTGTATTTTGGCACTTATTTCATTCTATTCAAAAAAAAAAAAAAAAACTCTGTTTGACATCATATTTGTGATGCTTTACTTTACCATGTGTAGCCCTACCCTCATCTCACCTCTTGGAGATAACGTGTCCATTTGAAAACATCATCTAATTGTTATTCACTTGCGCTGACATCTAATAAATAATGAAAAATCAAATTTCCGTTGCAAACAGAACATAATTGTATTGAATGATTCTTTTGTAAATATGTTGGGGCGTATGCACACAAATCATTGGAGTTTTCACTAAAAAATGATAAGAGTTCCTATTAAGATCTTCTGATAAATTCGACCATTCAAACAATGTCATGTGTTGGTGGTAAATGTCACAAATGTTAACCGCCAACTTTGAAATGTGGGTTTAATACATTTGGCAGTTATATTTTTATTCGTTATCTTCACTTTTTTGGTAGCACATGCAGCTAAAAGGTAAAATAATAATATCTGGATGTTGATTTCCATACTACAAATCAAAAGGTTTGAAAAGAAAGTCCCATCATTACTAGAAAGAGTGATATTTATGGTCTTGAGAGATCTAATTATGAATTTCAACGGACATTAATGGTAACTCTTCGATTAATGAAAGCCGAAAGGTTCCTGTATGGAAACAGATAAATTATACAATATATTGTTGCACATTTGGCATTCAAAATTAGAAACACATACGCAGTTTGAATTTAATATAATTTTAAGATCTATCTTTTTATTACTTTAACAAGACATTGATCCATACTGCATTGACTCGTCCTATAAAATTGTCTTAAACTTTAATACTGAGATTCAGTAAATGTTTTTAAACTAAATTGTCTTTTAGGATTGTGGCCATATCATGTTGAAACACTGTACGATCATCGAAACAATGTCTCTATGGAAACGGAAAAATTATATAATGCATTTTTGGACTTAATTCTGGTAGTTTAAAAGAAGAAACGACTTAGCTTTTAAAAATAAATAGACTGCACGAATCATTATTAGTCCAAACTCAATTTCCAGCACATCTCGAAAATCTCAGTCCGGTAGATGTCAATTATTTAAAAAAAAAACAGAGATGTAGAATAAAACACACGTATTCACTAAATATAACGTTTATACCAATGACAATTAATGGATTAAAATATATATCAAATCCTTACAAATTAATTTCTTCATGGTTCGATTACGAAAATAAATTTAGCTTATATGGGTTCGACAGATCTTAAGGAAAAATGAGCTTTCCTTCATAACGGTAACTTAGCTTTGTTCAGCCATGATGTCCTCCTCTGTGTCTGAGCAGTCTAAAAGTAGACCGGACTATTCGGCGGTTCCCACTGTATAGGGAGGGCCCATGTTTTGTCTATGCCAAATGGCACACTTTCTTTAATAAAGACTTTTGATAGACGCCATTGACTCTGTATAAAAACCAATGTCTACTGAGAATCGTGTATCTAGTAAATAAAACGCTAAATAATGATAAAAATGTCAGATTAAAATAAA